ATATTTGCGTGTGTCCATAGATAAACAATGCAATTTACTAAAACCCAAATAATGCTGGAAATGTACATATTTTATAGGGGAAACACAGTGCAAATAAACAAAAAGCATGAAAACAGATAATCTCAGATTCAGTTTGCACAAGAGAGAAATGAAATTGAAATGGGGATTAAAATTTTCTAGTCTGGCTAAGACCAGAAATGGTTTTAACATTTGGTTAAGAGATGGGAAAAGAAGTACAACATTGCTTGGTAAAATTGCCCTGCTTTACTCCCTCACTGCTTGCGAAGGACTTGCTTCGATTACAGGTAACTAATGGTATTCCCAGTAAGCAATGGTATTCCCAGTAGTCATGTATGGCTGCGAGAGTTGGACTATAAGGAAGGCCGAGCGCTGAAGAATAGATTCTTTTGAACTATGGTGCTGGAGAAGACTTTTGAGAGTCCCTTGGACTGCAAGAAGATCAAATCAGTCAATCCTAAAAGAAATCAACCCTGACTGTTCCCTGGAAGGCCAGATAATGAAACTGAAGCTCAAATACTTTGGCCACCAAATGAGAAGGGAGCACTCCCTGGAGAAGACCCTGATGCTGGGAAAGATTGAAGGTCAAAGAAGACGGGGACAGCAAAGGATGAGATGGTTAGACAGTGTCATAGATGCAACGAACATGAAATTGAGCAAACTTCAGAGGATGGCAGAAGACAGGAAGGCCTGGTGTGATCTGGTCCATGGGGTCGCGAAGAGTCGGACTCGACTGTGCGACTGAACAACAACAATGCGTTTTATGGCATAGTGTTTTGCACCTGCTGTTTCTCTGGCTCCAAAACTGATCTCATGCGCGGCTGGTGCTTCTTGTGCGCTGCTGCATCACTGTGGGTGAGGCATCTGCATTTCTTTATCTCTCCTTTCATCTCCCTTCTGCTTGTGCAAAAATGTGCAATGCCAGTGTTGTTTTTTGGGAGCCTAACTGTCCCTCTGCTCCGAGGACATGCCTGGCTCAGCAGAGCTGTTATTTTATGAGGGCTGTTTCAAGACTGTTTGTGCAACCCTCATTGCCAAATCTCATTATTCATGATTTTATCTCATTGCTTGATATGCACAATAGCTCTGAGGTGTCGCTGATGAAACTCCTGCATCTTTTGGGGTGTACCGGCAAGGACTTGCTTCAGTTTTGCAGTCTCTGTGACCCTTCCTCACTTTCACATCTCCTTCACAAGTGACTATCCAGACTGGACGTAGCCTTTCAAACCTGGATGTCTACTTTCAGACCCAGGGTGAAAGGAGGAAAGGGCTAGGGTTGCCAACCTCCAGGTGGGGCCTGGAGATCTCCCGCTTTTACAACTGATCTCCAGCTGACAGAGATCAGCTCCCCTGGAGAAAATGGCTGCTTTAGAAGGTGGACTCTATGGCATTGTACCCGGCTGAGGCCTCTCCCCTCCCCAAACCCCACCCTCTCCTAGATCCATCCCCAAAGTCTCCAGGTATTTTCCAACCCAGAGTTGGCAACCCTAGAAAGGGCACATGGTGACTAGAAATCTGAATGTATTTATTATTATTTTTTTGCTAATATTCTGGACTTTGTATTTTTTTCTCATGTAACCCACTGTTGGGCACAGTGATGACACATGAAGCAAACCAGCTTACATGACCAATAATTATGTGTTAATTCAAGGTATGCTGCTAAAAAGATTGTCAACTAGGTATGAAATAAACCCCATCAGAATTGCATGAACTGGTCCATCATGGGCCAGGTGTTGCTAGAGGATCATCACGCTTCCTACATGCAGAACTAGACCTGGGGTGATTAAAAGTGCATAAGAGTGGGATCACAAGAATCAGATTTAACATTGGTGATTAATCCTAGGACAACTGCTATCACATTACAACAAGTTTATCCTTGGAATAGGTGCAACTTTCTAAATCCATTGAAGTCAACTCTGTTCTCTCAACATCACATGCCAGATGTCATTGAATAACCCAGTGTCAGACTATAGAATGTGCTTTTTAAAAAGTTTGTTCAGGAGAAACAAGAGAAAAAAGCACATAAAATCAGCTATCCAAGAAAATAAACCAAACAGCATGCTAAGTTCCTGTCTTTGCTTTTGATGTTGATGGCTAACAGAACAGGATACAAGGCTCGTACAGGATTAACCACTTAATGTACCTTGATAGCTTCAGACCTCAAAACAAAAGGACTGTGCTCCTTTTGGAAAAACCACAAAACTGTCTTCTTCAAGTAAAAGAAGGTAATTCAATTGCTGAAAAAAATTCAGTTTGGGGCTATTATATATGTTATGTGGGAGGACTGTGATCACATCTTTCCACCCATGCTGTTTCCCCATTAGAAATCACACAGATGAAAACCCTGTCAGTTTTTCATTCTATGCAGTGGATGATATGGCCGATGGATTCCTCAATAAAACTAACATCAATAATGTCCTGTCCACATACTAAACTGGAGTTTATTCTTAAAATTTTTAGTGACAAAAATAAGGGACTGATCTCAGCACTTTACGACTTGTTGCAATCTGAATCGAATTGTAAACCATTGCCTTATCAGTCGGTCTGGCAACAAGATTGCGATTTGACTCTAAGTGACGAGGCATGGAAAAAAATTTGGAAACAAAAAATTAACACTCCTAGCGCAATATCAATAGATTTACACAAATTCAAAATTCTAACCAGGTGGTACATGACACCTCAGAGACTGTCTCACATAACATCTAACTATTCGCCAGACTGCTGGAAGGGTTGCAAAAAAATAGGGACTTTTGCGCATTGCTTTTGGGAATGCGAAAAAATTAGTTCATTTGGAATGATGTACTGCGACATATCCACAATATCTTGGGTATACTTACTCCAAAGTCACCTGAGACCTTGTTTTTAAATCTTTGGTCAGAGGAAATAGCACATCATCACTATAGAGACATGTTGGACACAATGCTATATGCGGCTAGGCTATCTATAGCATCTTGCTGGAAAGATATCTCCCCCCCTAACATTCAAACTTGGTACAAGAAGCTGTGGAATCAGTTCATTATGGAAAGCATCACTGATAAAGTTAACAGAAATAAAAGGAACTTCATACATTTTGGGTTCGAAGCCAAATGGTTGCCAATTTTAGAAGCTCTATCAGACAAAAAATTTATTTCAGCATCCTGGGATAACTATGTTAAATGGTTGTGAGGATTTTTTTAATGGTTCAAATAAGGTACAGTAAGTAGGCTTTGGTAAAACATGAATTGTGGGTAGTACTTTGTGTTTAATATGGTTAGATATATCATTGAATGTCTACAGATATTCTTGAGGACAGAAGACACTTGGTTGTATCTAAAGCAACAAACAGTACAGGCATCAATTACAAATTGAGGCTAAAATAAGTCACTTTGTTCAAAGATTTATTGAAGAATGTATCATTCTTTAAAGCTTACTTTTTTTGTAATTAGTGTGTTGGTTTGAATGTATAACTGTTCTTATGACCTTTATGTATATTTTTATTGTTATATTCGTTTTATTGTTTTAATTCTACCAATAAAATGTTAATGAGAAAAAAAAATAGGGGTCCTTTGGCAAACTGCTAGTATGTCCCATAGGTAAGACCACCTTTGATTACTGATGCCCATGCAGGAACTGGACCCTTATGGCAAAGGTGAAGCAGACTGAGATCGAGTAGACAAGGCAGTGGATACTATAATGACACCTCAAGAGCCTTAAATATGGTTCTAGTTGTGGTGCTAGTGAGAAAAGGACTAGAAACAAGAACAAAACTTATCTAGGTGTTGGCCCGTGCCTACAGTGGGGCTATTGGGGGTTCTGCCACATTCCTTAAAGGGCCCTCCACTTCTTAAAGGCCCCCCGCTTCTTCCAAAAAGCATTTAAAGGGATCCTTTAAATGCTTTTGAGAAGAAGCAGGGGTGGTGCATGCCCCTCTCCCTCCCTCCTGCAAGATTTAAAGGGCCCTCCAGCTGATCAGCGGGCCATGTGCTCCCCACTGATCAGCTGAAGGGCCTTTTAAATCTTGCAGGAGTGGAGGGAAAGGGGCATGCACCACCCCCTTCATTATGGCAAATAATGGCAGCCTTACCAGGAAAAATTTTTGCCCCACAAGCCACGAAATCCTGGCTACGGGCCTGTCTAGATGAGCTCTTTGTTACCATTATGAGCTCACCTCAACCTGAAGCGAAGACTGAATTTCTTTTGACTTAAGGCAGCCCGGGCTACTTGTTCTTCTGACCTAGCCAACAGATAGATTCACACAGGGCTAGATTTAGGGGAAAGTAACTCTGACAAGTCTGGGGCGCTGAGTTTGTAAAGCAGGCAACAATTACCTCTGTGGCCAGCACTGTGTTAATGTTTGAGTATTTCTAATTATTATTTGTGGGACAGTTTACAACATTAGTGCCCATTCAAGAAATTGTGTGGATGTAAGTGTTCACAATATCATTGATTACCATAAAAATGATTGAACATCATGATATCAGTATGCATCACTTATTGTCATATGGCATGGGAATAAATCACGCATACAAATTGTGCACTGAGTCATGAAATGGGCTAAAAATGCATTTTTTAAAAGGTATTTACAAATGGGAAGGCACTGAAAAGTTCCTTGCTCAGGGCACCATTTGATTTAGGGCTGACTCTGCAATCACATGACTAGCCTTATCCAGTGAACACTGGTGATACCAGCTGGAACAGCAGATTCCCATGTCTTAAGTAATTCTTCCCGTACATCATACAGATTTTTCTGCAGAGGCATTTTTAATTATCTCCATATCATCCCATACATAAATTTTTACTGTACCAGAAGCAAAGACAAAGAGATCAGTATGAAGAAGACAATATACTGATTCTGTTCCTGAAACTAATATAACAAAAAAAAAAATCCCACCAATGTGAAGGTTGTATGTTCGTTTTGATGGAACATTATGTCATTTAAAATAAATAAATAAATAAATAAATAATCTTTGACTTCCTAGGGCATCAATTAAGTGATCTCGTACCTGAAGATGCTGCTTCTTCTGTGCTTAAGGCTATGGCTTCATATTCAGGCTGTTCATAGATATGGAACTGATAGCGGTGGTATCCACTATGAGATGGTGGAGTAGGTCGGATGTAGTCTGGATACAGGAAATAAAACAATAAAATTTAGAGCATTGCTGTCTTTCTTCTCTTTACACCCCTGCTGACAATTCAAGATATTGTATCTTTGTAACTGGAATCAACCAAGAGACTCTGTTTCAAACCCACTGGAACTGCTTTTATTTCTTGACTAACAATTTATCTATGCCAAGAACTGCATACCAAGTCACTTCCTAACTTCAATTTTCCTGGGAATTTCTTGGTTCATTTAATTAGGTGTATAGGTACACCCCCTTTTTACCCCCCTCCCCCCACCACAGATTTCACAGCATTTTTAAAATGCCACAGTGGTCCATATAAATTTGTGTTACAAAGCATTACATCACAGTATAAACGCAGATTACTTAATACTTTTCCTGTTTAAACAAAACTCTAATTCCTATCCATAGGCAAAAAACAACAACAAAAAACAATCACCACACAAACATTGGCAAAAAGTCAGAAGTGCAAAAGAGAGAGTATTTATTTTTTGGGGGGACCTTCAATCCCTATGTATTTTACATTAGCTTCATCAGGGGATCTGAAAATATTATAATCTCTTGTGCTTTCATCACCATATTTGCCCTAAAAAGCAAATCATATATATGTTTAAGCTCTGAATGGTTTTCTCAACTAATTTGTTTCACCATTTCTTCCGGTGTCTGGTGCTTTGCCATCTTCTTACAAGCATGCTCTTGTTGCTTGTTCCTCAGAAAACTTTCCTTTAACTTCACCTACTTTCCCCAGCAACTTGAGCTTCAAGTCAGTTGTTTTCTCTCCAAACTCCTCCTCTTTTTACCTCTCTTAACCCATATCCAATTGGATAAAGTCCAAACCCTACACACAAGCTATCATGTCATTCAACATTCAACAAGAACCAGTGTGTTGTAATGGCTAGGTTATCAGACTATGATGTTGGGAGACCTGTGTTCAAATCCTCACTCTGCCATAAAAGCTCATTGGGTTACCTTGGGACAGTCACTCTCTCAGCCTAACCTGCCTCACAGGGCTGTTGTGCAGATAAAATAGAGGCCGGAGAATGATGTTGTGAGCTGCTTTCGATCTGTAAGCAGGGGTATAAATCAATGTTCCCTCTAAGCTGTGGAGTCTTGTGAGCAAAAATTCTGCTTTGTGAGCTCCTGGCATTAAAGTTGTGAGCAAGCAATTTGGCTGGTGCATAAATTAGTTTGCCCTGGAGCCATCCTTCCTGAGCTAAGACCAAAACGTGTGAGCTGGAGGCTAAAAAACTGTGAGCTAGCTCACACCAACTCAGCTTAGAGGGAACACTGGTATAAATATATACCCTGTTTCCCCGAAAATAAGACCTACCCAAAAAATAAGCCCTAGCAGGATTTCTATGCATTTGTGGTATAAGCCCTAGTGTGTCTTCTTGAGAAAAAATAAATATAAGACAGTGTCTTATTTTCGGGGAAACACAGTAAATAAATATCTAAACATTCTGCCCCAGAAAAAAATCTTTCTTTTGTTAGATTTTTGACCATATCTGCTACCTTCCTACCTTTTATCACAGCTAATTCTTGAGGGATAGCCATGTTAGTCTATTATCTCTCCTTATATATAATTCTCTTTTGATGTGACTCTTTTCTGAATGTTCCACACACTCCCACAGCCTTTGGCTCCCTGACCTGTCACTCAGAAGCTGTCCCTATCCACTGGCTGCATTGCCTGAGTTTCGCCTCCAATATTCTAAACAGTTTGCTGTTCCTCTCTCCCCAATAGCCAGTCGGAACACAGAGGTCACTTGCATATGTGGCCTGATTGGCCTTTGCCTCTAACATTCTAAACAGTTTGCTGTTGCTGTTGGGAGTTATTGAATGTGTCCTGAGGTAAAATACATATCCAATTTCCCCTTAAACGGTCACTGGAGTTGCCAAAGTACATATCCCAATCTTCTCTTAAATGGTCACTGGAGTTGCCAATCTCCCTGTAGGGACTGGAGATCTCCCAGAAATCACCGTGTTCCCCAGCTACAGCACATCATTTGCCCTACAGAAAATTTCCAAGCTATTACAATGGCTGCTTTGGGCAGTGGACTCTATGGCATTATACCCTGCTGAAGTCCCTCCACACCCCAAACCCTGCCCTCCCCTCAAATCTACAGGTCTGGCCCTCCCCTTAGTATTGCCAGCCTCCAGGCAGCACCTGGAGACCTCCAAGATCAGTTCTTCTGGAGAAAATGGCTGCTTTGGGCAATGGACTCTGTAATTATACCCTGCTGAGGTCCCTCTGCACTCCAAACCCAAACTCCAAATCTATCCCTCAAATCTACAGGTATTTCCCAACCCAGAATTGGCAACCCTGTAACTGGCTATGGAACCGTTTTCCAGATCCTTGGAACCCAGAAGACATGGCACAGGAGGAGATGCTTTTCTACCTTAGCTGCCACTGCATAACCCCAAATCAACATAAGTCAGGGGTGGAGGGAACCATAACTGTTACCATGAGGCTGTCCTCCCATACTACCCACTTGGGGCAGCAAAATGACCTGAGAAAGCTCTGCCTTATAGCTAAGCAGAAGGAAATAAACATGGCATGCCTCCCTCTATTTTCCCCTTCCCTCTGCCGCCCCACCAGCCACAGGTGGGACACTTACTTGGAGCTTCCTTCTAGAGCTCATTGTATTTCTTCCCACAACGGGCCTTACTTCTAGTAATAAAATAAAACAGAAGTCTAGTGCCACTGGACTTCCGTTTTATTTTACCATAGATAAACATTGTTGGTATGATGGTCAGGGCTGCTGAGAGCAAACATGAATGTGCCATGAGGCACAGATTTATTGCTGTGAATCACACCATCCACATGCAACCCAAATATCACTTCATCACTTAGTGTTAATATGAAAAGGTTAATAATTGGGTGTCTTTACCTGTACCATAACTTTCCCTTGATTTCACTACTCACTTCTATACATCTCATTCTTTCTCCTGGGAACTCAGGACTGTCTACATAGTTTTCTCTTCCCCTACTTTTTATGCTTACAAGGACTCAAAGTAAGGGCTATTCCACATGCTTGATTTACTCCTGATTTTCTTGGGAGTCAATCCACAAACATTGGAATCGGTTTTGGCATGGCTGTTCCACACGTCTGTCCTCCCTGTGCATTTTCATAGTTGTGGAGAAAGTTTATTTTCTTCCACACGTGCCTTCAATAACGAACATTTTCAATGTCATTATCATTGGTGTCATCGCTGCTATCACAGCACACGCACCCCTTTAAAAATGGCACAAAAATATCGATATGTCATTGGAGCACTGTAACAATAGGCTTAGGAGGTTCTCTGAATTCTCAGCTTTCATTTTTTTAAAATTAAGTCTCTAGCTCCTTTCCTCATGCAGATATGTATTATGAGATAGAGACTCGCTTTTTTAAAATGAAGACTCAGAATTCAGAGACACAAAATGTGTGTAGAAATGAGAGGATAAACCGAAGCAATACGGGATCAGAACTGACAAAAAAAAATGTGGAAAAGCCCGAAGTGAGGTTAGTCTGAGAGGCATTTCTCCCTTCCCACCCCTTCCATAAAAGGGCTGCTGGATTAATAACCACAAACCAGAGGCATCTTATCTGGCTTCCTCTTCCACCAGGGGCAACTAGGGCTCCTGGAATTTTGTCTTCCTAATCAGGGTCTCAACTAGAGATGTGAAAGCCCGGGAAAAACAAAACAAAACAGAAAAATTGGAAATTTGGGGGAGTACTAAAAAAAGCTCCTAGGAAATTAGGGCTGCCAACTCTGTGTGAGAATATTCCTGGAAATATTGGGGGGGGGGGCAGAGCCTGGGAAAGGGGGGGTTTGGAGAGAAGAGGGACATTAGCACAGTATACTACCATAGAGTTTACCTTCCAAAGCAGCCCCTTTCTCCAGGGGAACTGCTAATGGAGTCTGGAGATCACTTGAAATTCCAGGAGATCTCCAGCTCTCACCTGGAAGTTGGCAACCCTGTATGAAAATGTTCTCTTTTTGAATTAGTGAAATGCATTTAAAGACAAGGTGGTCATGCTGTAGACATATAAAGCTGTTAAATCCCAGATGCATTTCTGTTCCTCAGAGGTCATTTTTGGGGGGATCGCGGGGGATCACAGTTCCCCTGGGTGAGGTATGGGGGCGGGGCACATGACGAAGCCCCGCCCCCTGCTTCCGGCCGCCCCACTTCCGGCCCTCATTCAGCCAGGAAGAGGCAGGAGAAGAGGAAGGGTAATTTGCTTCCTCCCTGCCTCTCCCCACCCCTGCCTGCCTGAGGCCAGCACCTAGAAGGATACGTAGAATTCATGAGGGGAGCATGCTGGGCTTTCATTGCTTCTCAACCACTGCATGCCTTCTGTTGTTCTTTTAATCTGACTTTGTTGACCTTTTCCCCTCTCCTTCAAACCACTGTGACACATTTACACACAGACTGCAAAAAGTAGCTTATTGCCCTATTTGGCAGGAGGGAGAAAAAAAAGATGAGAAGGCGATGGGGTAGAAAATGCACCAAAGCCTCAGAGGAAAATTGAAAGTTTTACTGAGAACTTAGCTCTCTCTAACTAGATAGCAAAAATTAAGGTACATGTACTAAGATAGCATAGGGTGCATCAGCTTGCAGTTTTCTCTCAAATATCGGTATATTTGGAATTTTACTTGTACAGAATTAGGACATTCGTAATGTTTAAATTTCATAAATATGTCAAATATTGCAATTTTATATGCTAAGTATATAAAATGATGTAATTTTATATGCTAAGTAAGTTATAAATGATGCATTTTATGTTGTTAAAACAGTAAAATTAGTTTAGGTTTGATATGATAGTAAGTTTTGTATATATTTCAATTTCCCCCCATATTTCTGTCTTTTTCCAATGTAAAAAAAGGGGAGAGGAACTCTCCTGTTTTCCCATGAATTCAAAATCTTCAGAAATTTTGTTCTTGTCTCAACCACCATGCTGATGGCAGTGTGAGCACTATTTCACTTTCCCATGCTAATCAATGCTCTTGTAATCTTGGAGTTGGACTACTATAACTTATTCTTCATTGGGCTGTCCTTGAAGACCACCCATTGACTACAGAATGAAGCAGCGTGATTAGGGACTAGCCAATGAGAACACCCCTTTCAACTATTTTAAAACAGCTATATTTTCTGCCAGTTTGTTTCTGAATTCAGTTCAAGGTGCTGCTTATGGCCTTTAAAGTCGTTCATTGCCTCTTGGAAGGACTTTCTCTCCCCATATGTTGCTTGCTATGCTTCAACTGAAGTCTTATGGTTGCCTAACTTCTGAAACAGGGTCACTGAGTTGATGAACGAGGCACTGTCTTTTGAACTTTCTAGGAGGTGTTGTAAGGCAATTTTATTTGAGAGCTTTTCATGAGGTTTAAGCTGCAGGCGTTTTCTTCAGAGAGGGGGGTTAATGGGTTTTTTATTGTATTATGTATGTCCTTAACACTGGAATTGTATGTCCTGAGTCAGAAAAGAAGGGTGGGTATATTTTAATAAAATAAGAAACATGGGAAATTTTCTTTGGAGAAACCCTTAGGTTTTCCTCTTCCCCTCTTGAGTATCAAAAGCACCTCAAGCACAGAGGCTGATGTTGCCTCCTGACACTTGTATTCAGAGGTTTACTGCCTCTCAACATACAGGTTCCCTTTAGTCATCATGGCTAGTAGAGACAGAAAGACGTGTTTTCCTAAGAAGAAAAAGGGAAAGTGATGGGAAAGGGGAAGTTTCTGGCCATACTGGGGTAACTGCAATCACCACTGTGCTCCACTTCTGTGCATGCATGACGGAGGAAAGGGTGAGAAGGCATGGTCAGCAGAGCAAGCATGGGTGTGTCTGGACCCCATATTTAAGAACATGGATTTAAACATCACACCTTGTGTTTTGACAAAAAGAAAGTTCACATTTTTCAAATATTCTGAGCTACTGGTAGCTGTTGATGTTAACAGGGATTAAAGCTAAAGGGGAACAGATTGTCACTGACTGCGTAAGGTAAACAACATAAGTAAGAATGCTGCTCTCCCCCATGACAATTGTGTTAATTGTAATTATAGGCTTTGTATGGAGGAGGGAAGAGCCCTGCCGTGAGAATATTGGAGAACGGGGGATACACATGTAATAGGTAGATACAGATTTCTTTATCACTCTACTATTAATGACCTTATATGAAATCATCTCTGAGAAGCCAAGTTGGTTGGGGAGTTATGGGGCACGAAATAATCTCCCTTGCTTGCTTGGATGTGGAAAAGCTTACCTAAAGCATTGTTAATACCTCATAGCTAAAAAGGAGATCAAAAACTGCTGTCTGGCAGGAACGTGAAATTATTGCTCCTTACTGTTGTTGCAATGCTGAAATTACTTGCACCTTTCTGAAACTGCAGTTGGGAGAATCCCTCATCTTTTAATACCCTCTTTGGATATCATATGAAAAGCATAGGACACATGATTGTTATTCTCCTTCGTGCAATCCTCCTTCAGACCTTACAGTGCCATGATCGAAATTTGTTTTGCCAATTTCACTTTGTTATAAAAAAAAGATAAGAGAAATTTATGTGCTTTTTTAACATACAGGGAACAGTACTTGTACTGGATTTTTGAAAGACAAGCCATATAGTAGGTGGAGATTCCTAGATGTTCCAATTCATTATTTCATGTTCATGTTAAAAAACATTTGGATTGGGAACATAGACAAGTACAATATGGGCGCCTTTTCCTCAATAGCACTCTATTTCAGGAAAACAGTATGGGGAGGTAAGGATTAATTTACCCTCCCATGGTCACAATAAGAATTTTGATCACCTCCGACATCTGATTTTAAATATTAAAAAATATGTAGGAATGGGAGTTCATTATGAATCCCTAGTTCAGAGGCAGTAGATAGCCTTCTACAAATGATCAACTTTTTGAAAAAAAGAAAAAGGTCTATGAGGCATTTCTGTGCAGGATAGAGAAAGTTTTGTAAAACACTTGGCACTGCTCTTGTTTGTTTAAAGGGACTTGAGTTGAATTGTGTAGAGAATGCTGGGGATCAACAAATAAATTAAATAATTTATTATTTCTCCTCGTGTGTGACATCACCGGCACTTCCCAAGTGATAGCTATGACATTTGTGTAAGTAGAGTCCATGCTGTGCCCAGAGATGCAGTGGATATTCTCCCAGAAATAAAATATTACAGTTCCAAGTTCTGGGAAGAGCGATCCTGTCGCAAAGAAAGCTGTCTATATCCTCAGTTAACAGCTGTGGTAATTTGAGGAAAGACATTTGGATCTCCCCACAAAAGAGTAACTATTATACTTGTTTTGCATAAAAAACCAGTCACCAGGTGAAAAGGTTTTGACTCCTTTTAAATTTTCTCAAGACTTTTCTCCTCTGAACAAGATATGAAATTCCAAGGAAGAATCACCAAGCATCTCAGATGTATACCACTTTCACAGAAAAAAAAAACCAATGTCCTCCATATTTACATTCTTAAATTACAAACATTAATGCTTTTAAAATGTGTACACGTCTAAAATTTCAATTGCTTGGCACTTCAGACCCAAGGAAATAAAAATTAGCCTGGTGATAAAACAAGTAAAAAAGTGGCTGAAAACAGAGAAACATAGAATCCTGAGGTGGTGCAGAAAGTGGGTTGTACTCTTGATCCTCTCTTTAAAATTCTGAAGAGCTATCACAATTGTGATTCATATTTATGTAAAACACTTTTATCCCGCTTTTCCTCCATGGAGCTCAAGGGGCACAGCCCCAACACCATTATACATTGAGAGACTGTCCCACCTAGCATGATTTAAGGCAGAGTAGGGATTTGCATTTGAGCCTCCACATCCCAATCCAACACTCTAAGCACTATAGGTCCCGTTCACACAGAGAAGTTGCCGCGCTAAAGACATGAATGATAGGGGGATTCTCAGTGCATGATCACACCACAACATCTTGGAAGCGTAGTACACCCGTGGCTTCTCGCCGAAGATGCGGAGTAAAAAACTACCACATACGATGTACTAGTTTCCGGAAAACACGGGGCAAGGGCGGGTGTCTGATCGCATTTCCGCTTGAATCCCATGGCATCTGCGCCTGTCCATGTCCTGTCGCACACCGAATGTTGGGGGTTTTTTTGTAAGTCTCCACAGGATGTGCAGAAATGATCATGCGCATGTGCAAACTTCGGCGTGGAAAAAAAATTCCTGTTTGCCACAGAAGCGGCACCTAGCGATTGCTGGTGTGATCATGATTGCCGCACTGCAGGATAGCTGTGTGATCGGCACCTAACGGCCTAACCACGGGACCTCGACAGGACATGTGATCGGGCTGCCGCGCATTACTTTGCTCCGGGGCAAATAGCCACGCTCCCCCCCGCCGCATTTTCCGGCCTGGGTGACCGGGACCGTAGTACAGTATACTTAAGTCTTCATTCATTTCCCTCAGTTAGCCTCCGCTTGGGGATTCTCTTCATAACAAACATATGAAGCTACACTTTTTGAATGATATACAGTTTCAGTATTTCCTTGAAGATATCAACCCCCCATCAGACCACTGGTCCATTTAGACCGGCATTGTCCTCTGGCAAGGTTGTTCTAAGCCCTGTTACCTGAGATCCTTCTAACTGAAAATGCTGGGTGTAACCTTCTGCATGCAAACTAGAGACCATTAAGCTAGGACCTCTCTTAAATAATTCACTCCTGAACAACTCTAGATCCATGTGTCTCCAGCATCATACTTCTTGATGATGGTATAAAACCCATTTTCAGGACGTTTTCTATCTTTCTAGTCAAAGAGAGCTCTAGCCAAATGTGTTTTTGGAGCTACTGGTCCAGGAAGTGAGTTGTTGAGTAAAACTAGGTGTACCTCTTGCTGCCCTTATAAGTGATTTGCCCTTAGTTATTCCAGGAAGCTAGATAGCAAAAACATAAATAAGAATCCAGAACTCTGGCACAGAAACAGAAGCCTATGCTTAAACAGATTGTATTCTGATCAATGCTAAGAGCTATTGATACATTGTGGTTCCAGATCAAGTGCTACTGAGAGTGTGTGTGTCACTTCAGCTTACCTGTTAAGACACGGCCTTGCACTTTCCCAGTCTTCAGGTCAGCTCCCTGAAACCAGAGGAAAAAAACACTGCACCTTACTTGTGTGCATTGCAATATACAAAGCATTCAGGCTCCATTTTCCATTGTTCTGAATACTATACAGACCCCACTTAAAAGACTTCTGTTTCGATGTATCTGAAGAAGTGTGCATGCACACAAAAGCTTATGCCCAGAATAAAACTTTGTTGGTCTTAAAGTTGCCACTGGACTCAGACTTTGTTCTGTTTCTTCAGACCAACATGGCTACCAGCGGAATCTATTTATTTATTTATAAAGAGCAAGGCACAGAAAGGAAGCAAGAATGGGATGCATATCTGTCAATGCCTGAAATAAGAAGGAGGAAGAGGAGGAAGAGGAGGAGGAGGAGATAGGATTTATACCCCATCCTTCATTCGGAGTCTCAGAGCAGCTTACAAACTCCTTTCCCTTCCCCTCCCCACAATAGACACCCTGAGAAGTAGGTGGGGCTGAGAGAGCTCTGAGAGAACTGCTCTTTCAAGAACAGCTCTGACAGAACTATGGCTTGCCCAAGTAGTTGCAAGTGGAGGAGTGGGGAATCAAACCCGGTTCTCCCAGATTAGAGTCCGCACACTTAACCACTATACCAAATTGAAATGATGATAATTATGTGTTTGTGCAAACTGCCCAGTATTCTGTCCTCCACTAATCATGGTAGGACTCCTGGATAGTATTACTAGCCACTGCACATGGCAAGCACGAATAACAAGGCTGCAATATTATGCTTGCATGGCCACCACATTGCCCCATTTCTTCTCTCTACTTCCAGCGGCAGGCGCAGCCTGATTACTTTCCACTGTCAGCTATAGTAATGACAAGCAACCGGAAGTTTTCCTAAAGGAATAAATAACAGTTTTCAGCCGCCCCCTTTGGGGAAAAAAAATCATTATAATGTCCTGCTTGTCTTCAGTGAGAAGTTTCCTGAAGTTTCCTTTAACTTTGCTTTTTCAATGCCCTTCCTGACACACTGTTTGGTGCCTAATATAAGCAGAGTGCATGGGGAGGGCAAATGTGCTGGTGGGAGCTGTAGTTTGCTTGCTAATTTATATTTAAAGTGTCACTGCTTTGTACATGGCAGCCCAGTGCATTGTAGAGTGCCCCTGAATCACAGGCTGTGCTGTCATTGCAGCACAGAAGGACTGACAGACTGATCACACCGGACCTGTTATCTGGGCAACAGGTTGCCGGGAAGGTTACAAAAGCTTGCTCTAAAAGCCCCGACGCCATTGTGTGCATAGGTATTCAGGCAGTGGCTAATTAATATCTTTGCCATGGCAAAAAGGTCACTATGGTTTCAGAAAGCTGGCTCACAGGGATGGCAGATGAGATGTCAGAAAGATGTATGAGCAAAGCTAGCAGGAGCAGTTTGCATATTTCTGAGCTGTATTCCCACGAAGTGTTCGTCAACAATGTTGTAGTCACCAATGAAATCACATAGTGTTTCATACCTGATGCTAAAAAGCACATCTGACTTTCTCTTGTGCTTTTTGTGACATGTATGATTACTGCTAACGAGGGGGGAAAATTCAAAAGGGGGGTTTGAATGTACAATGCAGGCAATGCAAGGTTTATATTTGCAGATTTAAACCTCCTAAACCAATATTTTCCCCCTAATCTTATTTTGGGGTCAAATAAACTCCAATATAATGAAAAGGGGGGGGGGATTATACAAATTATACAGAGACAATATCTGAGGTGTATAACCAGCAGGGCTCACAGATCCTAATACAACAGTCCCTTTTATTGTAGACTATATGGACTATGAAAAGATAACAGAGAGTATTTACTTCATTTATACCCTGCTTCCCCCCCAAAGCAACTTGCATTGTTCTCTTCTCCTCCATCTTATTCTCACAACAACCCTGTGAGGTAGGTTATGCAGAAAGTGTGTGATTGACCTAAGGTCACACAGTTAGCTTCCGTGGCAGAGAGGGGATTCCAACCTGGGTCTCCCAGATCCTAGTCCAACACTCTAAGCCAGGGGTCCCCAACCTTTCTGAGCCTGTGGGCACATTTGGAGTTCTGACATGGCATCGTGGGCACAGCCACAAAACGGCTGTTGTAGAAGGTAAAGCCAGCCACAAAACTATTGCCACGGCTTAATTTCACTAACCATGGTGTAGATGTTTGTATTGTGGTGGCAGCTGCTGCCAAAGCAACATTTTAAAAAAAATCTGCACAGCCAATCAACTCTCCAATAGTTAATCAGAAGCACTGCTGGGGAAAAGCTCTACCTGGCCCTACCCAGTTCTACAAAACACTTGGTGAGCTCCAGAAAAGGTGTCTGCAGGCACCATGTTGGGGGGGACCCCTCTCTAAGCACCACGGCCATGCTGGCTCTTTCATGGGACCTCTGTATGAAAAAAAGAATGAAACAAAGAAGGGCTGCGGTCACATGGAGCATTAGGCACGCTAGAGAGGCGGAAGATAGGCGGATTTTCTGGGCGCGATCTAACCGCCACATCTGGGAAGCGTAGAGCTCCCGTGACGAACCCGAGGCTTCCCGCCGAAGATGCGCGGTTAAAAACTAGTACCTCGGAGGTACCAGTTTCCGGTAACCGCGGGGCAAGGGCGGGCGTCTGATTGCGTTTCCGGTGGTAGTTCCGGAGCCCGCCCATGCCCCCTCGTATAAAGGGTTTTTTCCCCCAACTGTCCATGGGATGCGCACGAGCACCCAACGGGGCATACGCACACTTTGGTGTCTGGAGAAAAAAACACCCGTTTGCTGTGCCGCTTCTTTGCCACGGCGCAGGATTGTGGTGTGCTCGGCACCTCCCCCCTACCACGGGACCTCCACGGGACCTCCACGGTACGTCTGCTGGCGCAACTGCACATTATTTTGCCCCGGGGCAAACAGCCATGCTCCCCCCCCGCATTTTCCTGCCCGTGTGCCCACGGCCAATGATTCCCTAACAGATTAAGGGAAAAAGTTTTATACACATTTTGAAGTCTGTTACAGTCCCCGATGCACAGGGCTACTAAGACATAGGGCTGTTTCTCAGATTATCTAGTAGTAAACCCAGCCCTGCCATGCGATGTATACTCGGCAAGGCTGCCAGTTGGTCCCAGCTCCCTGATGGGGGTATCTGTAGGACACATGCCCTTGCAATCAGGTCTTTGTTTCATTTACACTTTTGATTGTTGGACGTATTCCTAAAACATTTTAAGCATACACCTGAAAACATAATGTGTGAAGCAATTCAAAGGTGACCGCTCATACCCACGCTTATACCCACTTACACCACCTTACTTCAGGTATGACAGGGGATGTTTGTCAGCTGGAAAACAGGGTTGAGTTGCCCGTTGCTATTTAAGCTGGTATTTGGGGGGAGTTCAGCGTCTGAGTGGAGAAGAAAAAAATCCATGTTCGCTTTGAGGTTAGTGTGGGTGCAAAACATATCCTATTGATATCCAGTGGCAGATCTCCAACTGATTTCAGCAGACTTGGGTTGCACTGTTAAGCAATAGTTTACTACATTCCTCTGCTGGGCTGGAAACAACCCAAGCACCTAAACACTTGATGCAAGCGTGTAAAGACTGTTGACTTTTTTCCAGCCCTGCACAGGGATCACGCCTCAGAACAGGATGCTGGCCCCTCTAGCTTTCCCATATATAGTTGAAAGCACAGTAAGGCCTCAACACAAAACGCATAAACTATCAAATGTTTAATTAGCATTATCATATCTTCATAAAAATGCGTAGCAACACGTATGAACCTCTGTGTACGAACGACAGTATAGGGGGGTCAGCAAGGCTTGCTCCAAGTTTATGGGCCCCTCACCAAGCCATTTTCTCAGCTCTAAGACAGGGGGAGGGGTGAGCCAGGTAGGGTTGCCAATCTCCAGGTGGTACCTGGAGATCGCCCGCTATTATAGTTGATCTCCAGACCAAGATCAGTTCCCCTGGAGAACATAGCCACTTTGGAGGGTGGACTCTATGGCATTAGACCCAGCTGAATTTTCTCCCCTCCCTCCCCAAACCCTGCCCTCCCCAGGCTCAACTCCCAGTCTCCAGCCCAGAACTGGCAACCCAAGAGCCAGGTTTAGATGAATGCACTTTCCTTACTCTTTTCTTTGGGTCCCTTTCCTTCCCTGCCTGGTTTGCTAAGCAACCTGTCAATACCACCCAAAATCTCATGAGGTTTTGTCAGATCTCAGGTATATTTTCCATTTTGAGGCAAATTTAAGTGCCCCTCACCACCCTAGTTCCAGCTCCTGCCAACCTAGCAGTTCGAAAGCAAGAAATTGCAAGTAGATAAATAGGGACCACTTCAGTGGGAAGGTAACAGCGTTCCGTGCGCCTTGGTGTTTAGTCATGACTACGGAAACATCTTTGGACAGCGCTGGCTCTTTGGCTTTGAAACGGAGATGAGCACTGCAACCCTAGAGTTGGAACCGACTGGCTTTCGAGCAAGGGAACCTTTACCTTTTTATACCACCCCATCCCCATTTTGGGGACTTCTGTACAAAATTGGAGGTTGTCCCAGGTTTGTAGAAAAATGCCCCCTATCAGAACATGGCTTTATTGTGCAGATTTTTTTTAAATCCACATCTTGGGACACTGTTCAGAATTAGACATATGATGTTTTACACATACAATGCATCCATTATCCACTTAAAGATTTCAGTTTAAGAGATCTCAGGGAGGAAGGTGAACCCTGATGGATGACAACTCTATTTTCTAATTCTAACAAATGCATCCACAAATGGCAACAATTGGGTTCAAAGTAGTCACAAGTGATTTCACTGGGGGAGTTACCAGAAAATTAAAAAGAATCAGCTGAATAAGGACAAAAAGCAGGACAGAAAGCATTGAACAAGGATGATAAAGTGTTAAAGAATAAGGAACTAATGAGACAGTTAACATCACAGTATCTCCACATGTTACGTCAAAGGCACCTGTATTATTTCCTGCTGCACCTGTTGTTACTGTACACCTATTTCTACTCCACCCTCCAATCAGCTCTGACAATATATATATCAGTTCTG